CGGAGAAATGGTAGACAGTACAAAGCAACCGGAAGAAACAGGAGGTAATGGCAAGGTGCATTCGGAAGGTTTTCCATACACACTGGCAAAATAGTTTGCAAGAGCTTCGGCTTTCTCGAGATCAGTTGAGTACTTTTTTCCTTCAGAGTCTTCAAGAATTTGATGTGCACTAGAGCTTGCTTTGACTTTTTTGATGTAGTCAAAGAGCTTTTTCATATGATCGTCCTTCGCCAGCTTTCTTGTTTTATAGGCTAAAAAGCGCTTAACATGGTGGTCTAGATTCTTCGAAATCTCAAGGAAGTACGGACTTGTAGACGGCTGTGGCAGTTGTTGAAAGAGCCGGTCGCGCTGCTCAAAAAGGTTTACGATATGCTTAGGATATCTAGCAGACGCATTCTTCTCAAGTTTGCGCTGGGGGACATAGCGATCAATGATATCACGTATAATGGCAGCAAATCGGCAATAGACATCATCGATGTCAACATAATTATTCAAGATTTGCATCCAGTCTAGATTTCCGAGCTCATGCTTGATTTTTTCTTTGTCTGCGCCTTTGAAATCTCTATACAGAATGCTTTCACTCTTCAGCCAAAGGGAGGACACTCTGAAGGAAATAATATTGTGGTCCGAAGTTGATAGGGGAGCGTGTGAGGCGACGTCAGAGATGCAGGGCGCATCCGCCAAGATGAGGTCGAGGATCCTGTTTTCTCTGGTGGGGAAGTTGACATGCTGATTTAAAGAGAGGTTTTCAAAAACGGTAAGGAACTTTTGTGCCCCAAGGTTAGAAGTAGTAGAGGTATGCCAGTCAATATCAAGATTGAAATCCCCGAGGACAATTGTGTTGTGGGGAACAGAGGCAACTAGGTCTGACATGATTTCAATCAATTGATCATCTTGAAACGATGTAGATCTGGGCGGGCGATAAACTAGGAGAAATCTTTGCTTACGGGAAGCTGGTAGGCAAATGTCAAAGCATAGGACATCAGAACCAAGAGCGCTGTAATCGAACACGACTCTATCAAACAACAGCCTATTGTGCAAAAAAACACAGACTCCTCCTCCTGCCTTACCAAGCCTATCTTTTCTGATTATAGTGTATGGGAAAACTGAACAAAGTTCCGAATCGGTGATTTTGGTGTTTAGCCAAGATTCAGTGATAAAAATCAAACTGGGCTTGCGAGTTTCCATGAGATAGTGTAGGTGGTGAACTTTATTCATCAGGCTACGAGCATTAAACAAAAGGCAATCAGAGCAACGGTCTAATGAAGAAGCTAGTTTTTTGAAAATGGCATTGAAGGAGTTTGTGATCTTTTTGCCCTTGCTATGTCAGACACTTTGATAATTTCTCCTCTGTACACTACGTAAATTTTTTTACCATTGAACTCCTTTTCGTTCAACTCACGAGCTCTTTTTCGGAGATCGCGTTCCTTGTTGCGCTCATCAATAGTCATCGATTTGCGCACGAAAGACCTCCTTATAGTCCGATATAGCACGTAGTTTACGAGCCTTAGATAAAGTTTCAAGCATGAAACGCCGAGAGGAAAACAAACACTTGACAACCCGTGGTTTCCCCTCCACACCCCGGCCCATCCTGTAAACTTCTACAGGGCGGGTCTCGATGTCGAGGGTATCCAAGATGCGTGAAATGTACTTCTCCGTATGTGCTTGACGCAAAGACGGAGACAGACTTCCTTCAGCCTCTGGTATGCCGTAAAAAACAACTGACCTCTCTCTCTTGTCACTTTCAACTAAATCCTTCGCCAGCAGAGGCAGCTTACCCAAAAATTTGTCCAACAGCTGAATGACTTCGGGCGCCTTTGTAGCCAGAATTTCATGAATTTGATTCAGAAGAGTAATACCATCGTTGTCCAGAATAGAACTAGCTATCATCCTGGCCACAGACTGTGACGACGAACTCGAGCCATTGTTTTGCTGGGTGGGGACCGGGATCATTGTCAGACAATCAATTGAGTCGACCGCTCGCGGTGGGCGCAGAATGGAGAATGA